GCCGCTTTTAACAGTATTCCAGTTATATCGCAGCGTGTCAGCTTAATGTGGGAGGAAAGCCCGAAGTGATGCAGGTCTCACACGTTTACCACTTCGCTGAAACCCAAGAGCACGGGTATGGTGCTGATTAACCTAGAAACATGATCGGGGTGAACCAGGAATTGAACCCACAATCATAGGTTTCTGGCGTGCCCAAGGGACGCAACTCTGCACAGCGAATTGCAACGCCTTAGACGACTGGGCCACCCGTGCTCCTCTAGACATTTGAAGGGCGGTGGGGTAGATTAGTGGTTAAAGTGTTAGCTTGTTACGCCAAGGGCCCGGGTTCGATTCCTGACATGGGTACAATGTGTGAAGCCCATTTCTGTTGTCCCCCGTCGTGATATTGCTGGAATGTTGCTAAAAGTGGTGGAAAACCACACTCACTCACTCTAGACATCTGATCTGTCGGTAAAACGGTAAAATAATTTGAGGATCGCGAGAACCAAGGGAATGGATCCAGGGATTAGTGTAGATGTGAAACCCGGACCTTCCGCTCTCCGGGCGGACGTTCTACCACTAGACCACGGAGGCGGTCTTAGTGTAGATGTGAAACCCGGACCTTCCGCTCTCCGGGCGGACGTACTACCACTAGACCACGGAGGCGGTCTTAGTGTAGATGTGAAACCCGGACCTTCCGCTCTCCGGGCGGACGTTCTACCACAAGACCACGGAGGTGGTCTTAGTGTAGATGTGAAACCCAGACATTCCGTTCTCCGGGTGGACGTTCTACCACTAGACCACGGAGGCGGTCTTAGTGTAGATGTGAGCACTGGAGACAGAGAGGATGATTCTGGCTTGGAATCCCCACAATGCAGAGACACAGGAGCTCATCACACCAGAGGCAGCCTCGCTATTTGCATGTGTGCCTGCATGTGACAGCTGTACAGTTTCCATGACGTTGCGGTGAGCTGCGAGGGACGACAGGACTTCCGACAAACTGCGTAATTACGACTTGAAATCATGCACAGCCCAAACATGACATTGGTGAGAAGAAATGTAGCTATTTGTACTCAACAAAAGGCCATGATCATTTGGGTACAAATATATTCCAATAATATCTCCAACTGAGATTTACACATACACCTGGCTTTGAGTGGAACATGCAGCAAACTGTTCACGAGCTACAAGGTGATTATGCTTGTTGTAAGAGGCGACTAATGAGATCGGGTGGTCAGGCTCGCTGACTTGGTTGATGCATATCATCGATCCCAATCGTGTGGATTGATGCTCATGATATCAATTGCTGGATTGTCTGGTCCAGACCCGATTATTTACAGACCACAGTAATATAGCCGGAATATTGCTGAGTGCGGCGTAAAACAACAAACCAACTAACTCTAGGCCGAGCTCAAGGACAGATTGATGAAGTACTTTAGGTTAATAGTACATAGGACTGCACCGTATTATCGGTATACCATGTATGCTGTAATACACTTTTCAAACGATATGTATTGCAATTTCAACACTATGACATGCATCAACCAATCAGCAAGTCTGACCAACCGTTCCCATTAGTCACTTCTTACGATATGCATGGGTTGCTGAAGACCTGGGTCTAACCTGGTTTGTTTGTTGTTTAACACCACACTTAGCAAAATTCTGGATAAATGACGTCGGCCTGTAAAAAAAATTTAGTCTGGACCAGACAATCCAGTGATTGACATCATGAGCATCGATCCACGCAATTAGGATACTATGACATGCACCAACCACCCTGATCCTATTTGTCGCCTTTTACGGCAAGCATGGGTTGCTGAAGACCTATTCTACCCTGGATCTTCATGGGTCAGATCTAACCAGGATCTTCATGGGGGCCAAACTCACTCACATACAATCACATCTAATCAGCTGGATGAACATTGACAGTTGGTCATTTTTGATAATGTCACCATGGTATATGTTTGAATAAAGAGAAATTTTCAGTCAACTTCAGTGTATGCATGACCAGATCATTTTATGTGTGTACCTGAATACTTTTTGCCAGGGCTCTGGTTAAACAACTCCCAAAAGGACATTTTGTATCAAACTCTTGAAACATACAGTGGGTACACGGGTAGGGTCGGGTCATAAGGGGTCTGGCACCCGGGCAGTCACTTTGGCCCTACTTCACAAAATCAATTTTTTTTTAAAATAATATATTTAAGCTGGTGAAAGTTGAAACTGGTTAGTAACTTTTAACATATTTAAGACTGGCAATATTTTGACCCTGTTTCACACACCGCTCTTACAAAATGCATAGTTTGCTGGAGACAAAAGATTCAAACCCGGAACCGCAAAGTCTTGTTTCTATATCTGGGGACTGTTCTACCCCTAAAACCCCAAGGGAATCAGAGCATGATATCCCCCCTTACCCACTGTGTCTGGTGTGAAATGCCACTTTCGCATAAACAGGAAGTACCAGATGTACTTCCTGTTGTGGTCAGGTTCCTTGAAATCACATTTATCAATACTTGATAACAACAGTGGGCCCTCAACATGCTCAAGCTGTCTTCCGCAAAACTGTTTCGACTTGTTAAGACTAGACCAAATAAACTATCTGTCATAAAGATATTTTCATGAAACATTTAGGTTGTATAGTTCCTTTATGCTGCACTCAGCAATATTCCAACTACTGGCAAGTCTCCTTAACTCGACAATCAGCTTTATCATGTTTATCCGACACTAATGATGGGGACCGAATAAATCAGTGCTATTTACATTATTTAGACCTGTTAATCTGAATCTTGCACTCCAACTCTGACGCACCTAGTTCGCAACAAATAGCTGAAAACACTTTTTTATCAGTCTCGTTAATCCGACACAGTGATCAGTGTACTCCATGGTCATCTGCCCACGAGAACACACCCCTGTGACGAGTCGGCTAGTGGCTGCAGAAAAACTTGCTCAACAATTATTGAAAAAAGATATCTTGAGCTTTGCAGAACTAGTTTTAAACACAACCATTCCAGGCTATGCTTTCAAAAGTATTTTGATTCAGTCAAACATACAATCTCATTAAAATCAGATCTTAGCTCTCGCTACCGCTAAACAAAGATCTGAGGTCATATTAGGGGTCACGTCAGAACGACCTTTCATCCGACCAATCAGAGCGTCACTTACCAGATCATGAAAGTGATAGTCGGAATGTGATTTCTAATCATGCAATCTCTAAAACTTTAAAACGGGGTATTCCAAACGATAGTTACGGGCTTAACGACTGAATCGATACAATCTAGACCAAATTAGCCATTCAAGAATGTTCTTTTGTTCAGGTTTCAATTTTTTAAGCGAGAATTTGTCAAAATATGTTCCAAAGCGTAGTCGCCAATTTGAAATTAGTGCCGTAAAGCACAAGAAAGCTGCCTTCTGATTGGCTAATGTCGACATCTTGTCAGTAATTCCATTGGTCGGTCAGAGTTTGCGAAAGGTCGGCCTGACGTGACCCGTAATGGGATGTCCTCAGATCTTTGTTTAGCGGCAGTGATTTTAATGGGATTGGTCAAACATACAGCCCGTAACTGTAGTTCGAAAGTTTTTTCGAGGTTGCATGATCAGAAAACGCATTCCGCTAACAATATAACATAACAGTATGAATATTTCCTCTTTAATTATTTCATTACAACATACATGTTTCATTATCTATCCTGTAGTTGTCCGACTTACGATCACGAACGTTGAGACTACTAAATTTTGTTTATCCGACATACCTGTTAATCGGACATATGCAAGCAACCATGTTGGAATAATGGGGCTTAACTGCATATGACGGCAGTCTGTAAAAAGAATCTGGTCTGGACAATCCAATGACTGACATCATGAGCATTGATCCATGCAATTAGGATCCAATAACATCCTTAAACGTATTTAGTTGCCTCTTACAAAAAGCAGGGGTTGCCGAGGATATATAGTCTCACCTAGATCCTACAGGTCAATTAGGTTGTGATAAATAAATCTGGGCCAAAATTTGACGTGGCAAGAGTTCTGTATTTTGAGAGAAAGAAATTAAGACAGTCACAAGTCTTCAGGAGTTTTGCCAATTCATTTACTGATCGGCTAGTACATTTAGCTCTTTTAGGGTTTATGTTAACATAAATACATCATGATGTTTCAAAACTTGGTAAATTTCTAATATAAGGGGATGTGAGCAGGTTTTCCCGAAAAAAGAGGAAAATTCTAGGGGGCCTTAGCTTAGCTTACAACTATAAAGGACAATGTTTGTTGTGATTGGTATAAACATGTTACTTTGAAGGCCCTTTTTTACTAATAAAAATTGTGATGTCCAACCAATGAGAATGGATAGATGAAATCTGTTTAAAGCAGAGTATGACATATGTTAGGTAATATTATTTTCTATCATTGAATTTAATTTGTAGAATCGTAATTGAATCCCACCATGTATGAGAATATAGAATTTAATATATTTTTAACGCTAACTATTATCTAAGTTGAATTTTGTCATAATTGCTTTGACACCTCAATGTTGCGAGGGAACAGCTACAACTTATAATGCTGGAATGAAATATATTAGATTTAATATAGGATTTGAAATCCGATACTCAAAAGTGGGCATCTTTAAAATCCATTTTCAAACTGGTTCCTTGACACTGAACCAACTAGCTGTCAAAACCCACAATCTTGGTTAACGTTGAAAACAGATATTTGCTTTCATTTGGTATGTATTTAGTCCTTGTAGAACACATTGAGTGACACTCTACAAAAGCATACACGTTCACAATGCCATCACGCACCCGCCACATGTTGCTTCGTTGCTTGTGAGACGTTCCCCCGCAAACCATACACGGCAATAGGCACGAGTGGCGAAGGGTCACGCATGTAACACCCTCTAAATCTCCTCACTCGACATGGCTAGCCGGAGTAATCAACGCATACAATAGATATACATATGAACAAGTAATGTCCTTTGTAAAAATTTCAACAATATCTAACTATTGCTTAAACGGTAAATATGTCTTACGTACCTCTCTCCCCCATCTTCGAGCACTTGACTGTCAGATTTGCCGGAAGTAGAATTCAACCAATCAACGTGTAACTTCCGATCACGTGCCCAGTATGTTGGGAATGCCACTTCGACTGTCTGCATGTCTGAACGTAATTCAGCGATCCGTTGGATATACAGTGCAGAAACTTAGACATTCTTCGCACATGGTGCATATCTTCAGTTAGACACTATTTGTACATAGATTTCTGATTTCTGTTTGAACATAAGGTCAGGTTTGGGCAACTGCCTAAATCTGACAGTCTCAGCGAGAGGGAATAGTCGTAAGTCATCATAGATAGACTTTCTTTGGTCTCTTGAAGTAAATTGTTGAATTGTAATTTTGCTTTCCTTTGAAACAATAAATCAGCAAATTTAGACAGTCTAGCCATCCTTATGGACTAGACAAATAATGGGGTAAGAATTGTTTTACCTATGTGAACATAGAACTACTGTAATCTGGTAATGGCTAAAAACAGTTGTGATTGATGAGCCTACATACCCAACCAGGACAAATTTGAGGTGCCAAACTAGAAAAATATTTTTAATCCCAGTTCGAACCTAGTAAATACCATTTACCAATGCTATAAAAGAAGCAGTTGTAATTTAGAAAGTTTGTTCGGTTCCTTTTTATTAAGATTGATAATAGCTAGGCCTACCCTTTCTGTTTTCGAAGCCCACAGTTATTTTTTTAATCATACTGTGCCTTAGTGTGTTCAATGACTGTTCATGTTTTCATCAGCGTTCATTTGTTTGTCATGTTTATTTGTGAGAAAGTACATTTATCATTGGCTCAATTAAATAAACATTGTCACAAGGTATTGTTCAAAGTGTATTTTTCTAAGTGTGCCCTTCAAGAACCAGGAAATTATTTTAACCATACCATTATACTTTAATCCTGTCATCAACACCAAGATATAATTAATTTCTAACCCTAGTTTGTAATAAACCTGAACCACTTTGTGTTTGACCTTAAAAACATCATCTTCCTCAGGTGAAGTTCAGAATAATACTTCTGGTGTCCACCGCCTTGATATTTCTGGAATATTGCTAAAAGCGATGTAAAACCATACTCACTCACTCACTCTTTGTAATTGACCTTCCCCTGGTGTGTATTTTTGTGGGGGTCAAAGTAGTTTATTTTGAAGTTCAAAATATTAACAAAATAAATGGTTTACATTGTTCATATTCATGTCTCCATGAATAGCTGCAAAATTGCCGACACTGCGTAAAACAATCATTCACACATATTTCATGTATTTTGATGGAAAAAAAATACATACAGGGATTTATCTAGATATGTTCAGAGGCTGATATTTGGCCCTAGGCCTGAAGAAAATTACAGCAAAAAAAAATGAATTAAAAATTTGCCAGTTCCTCTGCATTTCTAAAACTATGAACATTAATGAAGCCACTTTTGGGGAATATCATGATTTTTCCCCAAGTTGCCTCCCAAAAGCACTTGGTCTGTTAGCCTAGATAAATCCTGGTCTCTGTTAATGTTCGGCTGATACTACTTCTTCTATAATGCCACTTAAAGATGCTGTCCCTCGTAAAGTTGCTGGAGTTGGTGGTATTAAAAACTTAAAAAATTGATTTGTTGTAACATCTTGTAGAGTTGCTGACGTCACCATGTCAAACGAGGACACAGCAGGCCAGTGGATTGCTGAGCTGTTCCAGCCAGCGTTCTCCTTTGCGGTAGATGATGTTGCTGCACTGCAAGAGGAGGGGCCGATTAAAAGCAAGATCAAGCGAGCACCTGCTTTTGACCCTGAGGCCATTCAAAAAGTGTATGAGAAAGTCAGAGTAATGAATATTCTGGATGCAGAAATGAAACAACAGACGTGGGACAGAGAGATTGCAGAATTAACAGGTGAGATAAGAAGAAGGAGTAGAAGAAGAATACGTTTGTACACACAAATTCCACAAAACATGATATTGATATCGTTCTGGTTAATGGATCATTTATTTTTTTATTCTCAGCTCCCTGAGAAGTATACAACCCAGCTGTAGGCCTATCTTATTTTTGTCTTGCAAAATTCTATGTAATTTTCTTATTCTATAGTCAGGCTTGCTGACTCGGTTGATGCATGTCATTGTATCCCAACTGCTTTGATCATGCTCATAATGTCAATCACTGGATTGTCTGGTCCAGACTTGATTATTTACAGACTGCCGTCATATTGCTGAGTGCGGCGTTAAACAACAAACAGACGTCATTCTTTGGATGAGATGATGAATATTCTATTCATCATATAGGCAGTGGTTAGAATTGGCCTACAACAGCCCATGCTTGTCCCGAGAAGCGACTAACAGGATTGGGTGGTCAGGCTCGCTGACTTGGTTGATGCATGTCATCTACAGACCGCCGTCATATAGTTGGAATTTTGCTGAATATGGCGTTGAACAACTAGCAAAAACAAACAGTGGGAAAATGCTCATTTCAGCGTTTTGTATCAAAAGTTTCCCATGCAAGCTGCTTGTAATATAAACAAGTGTTCAGAATGAACATGATTAAGGGGGGATGGCTGCTTTTAACATTAAGGTTATCACGAGGGCCCCCATATTTCTTTCGTGCTTGGTTTGTAGAATACAGACCCCTGTTATTCAGGATGAAGTTTCCTCTCCCAAACATTAATCTCAAACAAAATTTCTAGAACAGTCCTAGTGAAGCTTTTAATGTGTGGATAAATTGGTCAGAACACTTCAGTAGTAACACACATAAATGACAATCGGTTGATATTATCTCAGAAATAAGCACAATACTTCATGGTCAAGGGGAGATAATCTTGCTAGGTCACTAGACGTGACATTCGGGAACATTTTGATGATTTTATGTTTTGACATGAAATTCTTCTTTATCATTACCAGATCTGAAAACAGTCTGCAAGACTTTAAGGGTGACAATAAGTGAATATCCTAGAAAACAAACAAATTTGAAATCTTGCAATATCAATGAACAAGGGGAGATAATCTTGAGACATCAATTCAAATGAAGTTTTTGCTTGTATATCATGTTAAGTCTGTTGAAGATATATTGGTTACATAAAGACTTTGAAAACTAATTTTAGCCAGCTCTGCAAAGTGATGGCTGACATTTCTACAATTTCCATGAAATCTTACATCATTGAACTATCACTTTACTGATGCTTTACTCTACAATACAGTGTCAATAAAATCCTTCCATAAATCTCAGATATTGAAAAGTTTTAGTGCGATAACTAGATAACAGTAGAAGCATATGCAATTTTGACGAATAATCTTAATCCAGTTGAGGGCACGGGTGGCCCAGTTGTCTAAGGGTCCGCAGATGGTGATGCAGAATTGATTGGCTTACCAATGTTTGCATAAACTCCCCAAATTTAGTCCATGCCCCTTAACAGACTGCTGTTTCCTGATTGGCTGGAAATAGAATGGCCAGGGTTTGTGTTGCATTATTGTCGTCACTGATTTCGTATTGTTGTCAACATTCATTTGTGTGTTAATGATTAAATCAGCAGTGTGTGATGTTATTATTGTAGACGGGGTGGTCGGGTAGCCTAGTGGTTAAAGTGTTTTCTAGTCACGCTGAAGACCCGGGTTCGATTCCTGACATGGGTACAATGTGTGAAGCCCATTTCTGGTGTCCCCTGCCGTGATATTGCTGGAATATTGCTAAAAGCGGCGTAAAACCATACTCACTCACTCACTATTTTTGTAGACATATTTATTTAATATGAGTTGACTTCAATATGGTAGTACGCGCACTGTTGTTTTAGGTTTATACCTCCAAAAAAGCAAAACAACGTTGACTTCTTAAAATAAACAAAACTCATTTCTCATGTCTGTTGTTTGTGTTGTTTTCAGCACAGAAAACTGATTCTCACCCTCAAGAAGGAGTTGACAAGAAAGACAGACGTGATGACACAAAGGAAAGTGATGAGGACTCAGGGTCCCATGTTGACTTGAAAGAAAGCTGTATTTGGGACACCGATGAACTTGACGTCCTTAGAAAAGTTTATAAATCAGCCAAGGGAAGGATCAAAGAGTTGGAGGTGGAAGTGCGAGAAACTCAGAGAAGAAATAAACTTTTAGAGGATGACAATATCATGTTGAAGAGCGCGCTGGAAGTAACTGAAAGTGGCTTTAAAGATGCTAAGAAAGCCAATAAGAGGTTGAAAATTCATTGTGATAACTTAAAGGAACAGCTGGAATTTGCATCAGCTAAAGTGGATGCTGTGACTGAAATGTGGAAAGAAATCAGCGAGGAAAAGTCTTCCATGATGAAAGAAACTCAAGATCTGAGGATCCAAACTGACCGAGAAAGACTGGTCAGAGAGAGGCTGGAAATAAAGGTCGAAGAAGCGGGAAGGGAGATAATTCAGGAGAAGAAACTTGCACAAGAGAATGCTCGTGTGAAGTATGAAACAATGATTTTCGGTCTCCAAAAACATGTGAAGTCTTTGTCAGATGATCTTACCAAGGAGAGACAATCTCATGATATTTCCAAGAAAGCGCTTACAAGTTTGAGGCACCATTTTGCGAGTTTGCCGCTTCACGACATTATAGCACCCCATGTGGTGCAGGAGGATCAACTAAAGAATATCGACTATCTCAGTTTGTGAGGGGAGGAAGAAATAGCATGTACATAACATATCTGTGATTTGTATAAAATTTCTTGATTGTTTTCATTTGTTTTCGGCTTACTCAATGATGGTGAGTTTATTCAGTAATAGTGGGAGGATACACTGATTCATCGGTGGATCGTGATTTATGGCTTCTTGAGAAAAGTATCAATCACAATCGCAAACTAAGTAAAAAGTATTGATTCTTATTTTATTGTATCTTTAATAAATTTTACACCAAACACTAATTACTAGTGAAAATGAGTAGTGAAAATGTAAATATTTTCATACACTGCGCCATACTTGACACTGCCATCTGTAAAGTGTTAGTGTGGCAGGTATTTATCCATAAAACGCACCACAGATAAGACCACAGGCAAGTATCGTGATATGTATCGGATCGTGAGCAAAGCATCGTGATACGTATCGGATCGCACCGTTGGTGTATGGTCCCAGCCCTATTATCCAGTGTATTTGTGGTGGGAGGGTAGCCTGGTGGTTTAGGACCTGTCTGCTCACTGGAGGCCCAGGTTTGATTCCCCACTTGGTGCAATGTGTGAAACCTAGTTGTGGTGTCCCACACTTTGTTGGAGCACCATGGCTTTGAAAGTTGTCTCATTGTTAGCTCACCTGACTGAAGGGGGCACGGGTGGCCCAGTCGTCTAGGGCACCACAATGCGCAGTGCAGAGTTGTGTCCCTTGGGCACGCCAGAAACCTATGATTGTTGCTTCGAATCCCGGTTCGCCCCGATTATGTTTCTAGGTTTGTCAGCACCATACCCGTGCTCGTAGGTTTCACCGAAGAGGTAAGCGATTGAGAGCTGCATTAAGCGCCGTTAAATCCAAATGAGCCCACACCATGAAACAGAATTTCACATTGTGCAGTGAAAAACGATTATTGTCAACCTCGGCATCACCACTAACTCTGCAATCAGTGTCTGGAGTATCCACCCCTCTCATAAATGACATTCCCAAGGCGTCTCCTCATGCTGCTGATCAGAAGTCTGATTTGTAACCATGGTAACATTGGGATCCTGTGCCATTCCTGGTGCAGTGCCTGGGTCAGTTAATTCAGGTTTTGAACTGGAGGTCGAGGGCTCCAGCTCTCACTTGGCGGCCAAGGTAATCCCAAAGGTGTTTTCTTGGGGTCAGATCAGGGTTTGTCATTATTTTTCGGAATTTTATTTTGAATCAGGTGGTGCTTAGTTAATGCTTATGTGTTTATTTAAGTTACTTAGAGGAACAAAGACGTGCCTGACGAGTTTGAGCACACATGCTCTCTGTTCTGACAACTGGATTTCTTCCCTCCAGGACAGCCTCTGTGGGTATTTGAAACCGTTTGACCCGAGATCAGAAGGTCCCCTGCCATGGCTGTGTCCAGAGACCATGTACCGATATCGGTATGTGGTCTCTGCCATGTCCTACCAAAATACTTTAAGATATGCCATTTGCTGTTGCCCTGCCTGGCGCTCGGCGTTAAAGGGGATAAATTTAGGCGGTTCAAAGTCAGTACAGTGACTGAGTAGGTTAGCGCCATATAACTGGTACGAGTCTGTTCCAGTACAAGCATCCAGACACATGTATTAAAAGTTAGTATGGTTTTACGCTGCTTTTAGTAATATTCCATCAATACACAGGAACACCATAAATGGACTTCAACATTTGGGGTATCGAGCCGGATCTTTGTCATGACGAGCAAACACTTTTACTACAAGGCTACCCGACAGCGCACATATATGTGAAGGGATCATGCTGTTCACACAAACTAAACTATGACCTCTGTGGATGGAACCATGGAGATTCGGAGGCAGAATAGGTTCCAAGAACAATATACTCACACTAAAAAGAGGATCGGATGATCCCAATGAAATGTATCTTGGGCCACTGACCGGGTTGTCTGGCACAGACTTGCTATTTACAAGCCACTGTGATTCCCTCACTCACTCTGTTCATTTGACAGACAAGGTTAACACAGCACCAGAAAATGGGGCATACCTCACCAAATTGGTGAAACGGAATAATTATCTTTTACAAATAAAGCAGAACATGTTACGAGAGACTGGTGAAACAGAAACATCATTAGCCGTAACCCTAGAATGGTATGTGCATGGTGCATAAGCTGTTCTCAGTGCTGATTGGTCATTTGAAGTTATATGACGTCACACTGATTCATTGTTGAAAACTGTACGATATGAAGTCATTCAATTGTTCATGAGGTCACAAATTTATAATGTGCCATCGTATGAACAGTTGACCTTTGCAAGGTCCCTCTTCAGGGGTTGCATTTTCACATGTTTCATGTCATGTCGACCGCCTCCGTGGCCTAGCGGTAGAGCGTCCGCCCGGAGAGCGGAAGGTCCGGGGTTTGATCCCCGACCGCGTCATACCAAAAGACGTTAAAAGATGGTACTTGTTGTTATCGCTATATAAGTACAATAATCTTGGACGCGACGCTAAACCCCATTTAACCTCACCTCATGTCATGTCCTTTCTTAGAATGATAAACGGAGGGTCACACTGACTGTCTTTTGATATTAATAATTTCAACACAAGTCGATAAACATGATAAAAGGAGTGTTGATATATTTGATGTCAAAAGCCACAAGGGTAAGATTCTGTTTCTCATCCAAAATCATTCTTTCAACGTTTTCAGTAATAATTGTCTTGAGGGTAAAACGTACAGCTTACCAGCTTCAGTAGCTGGTTACCGGCTCATTATGTGCATCAACTTGTACCAATATGATATGTGAGACGGAGCCCAGCTTACAGCTTCTGTTGCTGTGCGATTGGTGATGTCATTTGATTGTGACGTCATGGTAAATAAAGCATTCGAAACATCAAATTCAATTTGGCACAGTTAAATCTACAGGTAACCTAGTTCTACACTGAATACAGTATGTGCATCAACTTGTACCAATATGATATGTGAGACGGAGCCCAGCTTACAGCTTCTGTTGCTGTGCGATTGATGATGTCATTTGATTGTGACGTCATGGTAACGATGATGTCACAATGGTCTGCCAAGAAGTGTTATTCAATTTGATTGTGGCATCATCCAAGGAGGTATGCTTGGAAGACATTTTGGATGATAATTAGGGGATTATACATATTTCAATAATTATATGTACAATTATTGGCTACAAAATGCAAAGTTGCAGTTACAACAATATTCAAATGATCTATATACAACTGTGACGTCACATCTTTTGCGCCTCAATGAGCGATATGACGTCATATAGTGACGCTCAGTGTAGAACGAAACCTTTGCAAGGCTTGCTCGGTTTCTTTAGGGGGAGCCCGGCTTGTGTTAGCTTACGAATTTGCCGTGCTACCTGATTTCAGTGCCTGTTAATAAGTTCGAGTGAAGTATTACCGTGTAAACAAGCTGCTTGAGCACAAACAGCGCCATATTCTGTTTAAAGGCTGTTGTCGATGATTCAGCTATTCAGATCGACAACCCACTCAAAACACCGGACTCAACCCATTCCGCTTCAATCAGTATATATTTTATTAACACCAGAGAGTTCACGTTTTATTTAGTCATGGTAGAATGTGGATAAACATACTGTAGAGCTAGGTTACAAACATATTTAATAGGGCGCGTTCGGTTCCAAATTCAATTTGGCACAGTTAAATCTACAGGTAACCTAGTTCTACAATGAATACAGTATGTTTATGTCCTATTTCATTGTAGAATGTGTTATATATTGTAAAATCTATCTCGAAACACGGAATTATGGGTGATCTGTCTCTCATGAAAGGTTTACATAATTCATTCCCTCGGCAACGATGAATTCCTCGTAGTGAGTTGGTTATGGTTTAATCTTTAAACCCCCTAATACTATCAAAAACTGTCTCTATTTTTATCAAGTTTTTCATAGTGTAACATACCGTCAAAAACATTGACGAAGTCTTTGACGGACTTTTGACAAACATTGACGAAGTTTTTGACGGACTTTTGACGGAGAAGCAACCGATCCCATTTCTCATCCAACTTTGATGGACTTTGATGTAAATTAGCCAATCAGGATGCAGTTGAAACCCTCAGTCTCGTGTCTGTCTTCAAATATACGTCCCCACTTTTTTCCCAGAGGAATCAGAACCTTTCCTGAGATAGTTCACATTGACACCAGCCTCTTGGAGAAGATTGTAGGCACAAAGATGATGCCCCCTCTGCAGCCATTCCCCGAACGCTGCCTTCTCAACATGACAATACACAAAATACACATAACAACAGCAAAACATTCCTCCTCAGCAGCGTCTATCTTGGCAAGTTAATACCCGCCAAAACTTTTAATGGCCTGTCAAAAACATTGAAAAAACCCAGCACAACTATGACAAAGAAAAGTTGGTCCAAGTTACCCTTCTATAAGGACGGAGATAACAGGGATAGATATAACTGACTATAAGGACGAGGAAAGTGCTGTAGACTACTGCCAATGATGTCACAATTCACTATAAAATACAACAAAACCATGAAAAATGTTCACCGACGACCTCAGCTATCACTACAACTGCCTTTCTACGGTAGCTGGGGTATTCGTGGGTTGGAGCATCACCCACAGATCATTCTTACACTTCACCACAGATGCGGAAGGTTATACTTCCCATGCTACTCGGAACATTCTGACCAGCAAAATAAACCCACTATATCTACTGATCAAATTCTTCACATGGAAGTCCTACATCGTGTGGCTTTCTGGGAATGGAGCCCACGTGACCACGGACAGCTGAAGCTTATAACCCATGCCCGGGCACCTAGGTCGTCGGTTTGACCATTACGTTGTTACACAAATACTTTCTGCTGACATCATTGACATGCGTCTCACAGCAGCAATGCCACTCATTGTCATCATGAGGAAGGGAACATCAAAAATGAATTGCGTGCATTGGGAAGATTACAGAAGTAAATATTGCTGTCTCTGAAGAGGAAGATTACCACAGTGAAGATTGCTGTCTATGAAGAGGAAGATTACCACCATGAAGATTGCTGTCTGTGAAGAGGAAGATTACCACAATGAAGATTGCTGTCTGTGAAGAGGAAGATTACCACAATGAAGATTG